ACCAGGATCCGCTAAAACAACAATAACGATGATAATAATAATAATAAAAGGCTGAACAATATGCCTTGAAAGCCTTCAATGAGCAACACTTGATAATCACAAGCAGAATACATCTTCCACATATTCATATAAAATAATCAATGATCATTTTTTTCCTGCAGACTACAATCCAATTACTCTCTCTCCCTCGCTCTCTCCCTCACTCTCCTTTGTTACTTGCAAACCATCCAAGCAATCAATGCCTTGACCTCTCCCTCTGATAGACACAATTACAAAAAGACGGAGCAATGCAATTCATCTATTCAAGATGGATTGTTTGAACACTCTGTCACACTGCCGAGCTACCCATCTCCTTGTCTAAGAGGAAATTTCAGCCCCCAAAAGAGGCACAAAGAGAGGAGGCGGGCACAATGCACCCGGGCCCAGAGAGCCCCTTTTGCACCTGCAGAGAAACCCTCTCCAGACTGGTGCTTGGAGAGGCCTGGCTCCTGGGAAGGATTCAGTTCCAGGCTCGGCTCACTCGGGCTCCAATCTGGAGACCCAGAAGCACCCAGCACACCAGAGCCCACTTTCCAGGGCCTCCATTCCTACAGCATCAGGCAAAGCCCTGAGATTCCCAGGGGTGGGAGGGTTGGGAAAAGGGAGGTGGCATCAGGCCCAGCAGAGGCGGTATGTTTGGGTTTCCAGCATAAAATGCCCCCATACTCTGTGCCACATCCACTACGGCTCTCTGGCTCCAGCTGGGGTTCGAGTGTGGGCTCTGAAGGACAGAGCTCAGCTCTGCAGGAGGCTCCAGAGAAGTCCGAAGGCCTCAGAGCCTTCCCCATCCTCCATCCAAGCTGGCTCAGCTCTGGTGATCACGTTTGGCATCGGCACAGCACCCTAGACCACGGGCTGGGAATCAAATGGGGCCGGGCTCTTGGATATAAATGGCCTGGGCTGACACTCTAATTAATCCTGGGGATAATACGAAGAAGATTAGAAGAGAGGAGGACTCTGCCATCCTTTAATTGCATTATTACACAAGAACCCAAGAAAGGGTGCACAGGCATGGGGATGTCTCCTGGAGGCAGTAAGAACCCCCTAGTCCCCTCTGGCCTCACATCAGAGAGGGTGGACAAGGCTACCATCCTGCCCTTTTTCAGCTCACCCTTCCAGGGTTGCCCTCACCTGCTCCTGCCTTTCTGGGCATCCCTGCCACTGGGCTGGAAATCACACTCATCCCACGCCTTTGGGGAAAGGACCAAGGGAGAAGGACCTGCAATGTGTGGGCTGAGCACATGGAACCTTTGCATCCCCTTCTTTTTCCCAAGGACACCCTATGGTGCAGTCCCCCATCCCGCCAAAAACAAAGAAAAAAAAAAAAAAAAAGAAGGGAAGGAGAGATGAAATAAAGGAAATGCTGGTCCAACAGTGAGGTGCTGCCTGCCTGCTGGAAGGGTGAGCGTCCGGGTGCTGGGGTGGGCAAAGTCACAGAGGCACGGCAGGCACGGGTTCGGCTTGCAAGGAGCAGCCTCGGCTGCAAAGGGTTAAACCTGACCCTGAGGGCTGTCCCCAGAGTCCCCTCCCGTGCCTGGCCTTCTCTGCCTCCTGGTGTCCACCTGCCAGGGTCCTGGGCATGGGCTGAAAGACCTCAGTGGGCAGAGCTGAAGACAGCATTCCGCCTCCATCCGGGTGTCGAGTTCAAGAGTCCAGTTCGGGAGGAGAGGACCCTCTGGGGTTCTGACCCACTCCCGGGGCAACCTCAAGTACGCAGACCAAGCGAGACATCGCTTCCCTGCCTCCCCTTCACATCGCTGGCAGCCCAAGATCCAAGCCTGCAGAAGAGCCCCAGAGGAGGAAGGTGGCCCTAGCTGGGCGGAGTTGTGCCCGTCTTGATCCAGACGCTGGAAGTGGCGCTTCGTGAACCCAGGCGGCCAGGTCTCCCGCCTGGCGGCGAGCGCAGAGCTTGCTGTGACCAAGGCTCCCGCGTGGCCTGGTAGGGCCCAGCCCTGCCCATCGCCCGCCTGGGACATGCACGGCTTCCCGCACAGCCCAGGGCGCTGCCCGCTGGGT